GAGAGGAGGAGGAGGAGGAGAGAGAGAGAGAGAGAGAGGGAAAGAGAAAGAGGGGAAGGGGGAGAAGGGAGGGAAATTGGCCGATTTGAAATTGTTACGCATGGTCTTTCAGGAATGTCGTTGTAACGAGGTTGTAATTCGCGTACGAACGTGGATGAAATTTGAGAGATGGTCGGGAACGGTCGTTGGACTCGACGAGGTAGATAGGATTGTTCGCGACGCGTGTGATTTTGCGATTCGTGTGTGACACGCGGGTTTGCGTTTCTAATGATGGAATACGAGCTTGTAATGGCGGGATCGTGCGTGCGCATCGCATGGTGTCCATTGCATCATTAGAAATATAAACCCGCCAAATCATCCGCGTTAAATACCGGCTACGGGCACATCGTTCATTTACGCCTGACCGATTCGAAATTTTGGCAGAAGATTATGGGCGATGTTAAATCGTCCGTGAATTGGACACGGTATCTAGGTGAGAATCTATTCTTCTCAATTATTATATTATAGATTAAAAAACGATTAGATTAAAAAATTTCAATTTACGAACGATTGATATAATTACGCTCCAAAATGTATTGTAAAATTGAAAATTTAATTTATATTTTCGATCGTGGTTAAGAATATTGATACGACATTGCTATGCAACCCGTAACGAGGATTTAGTTGAAACTGACTCAACGACATGAATTTTTCAATATGGTTGGGTATTCTACGTCGTCGATAAGTTTGAAGTGCACGGTGAGACGTACTCGCCTAACAGGTTGAATAATGGTCATTTTCAAACTGGGCGGGAAATGAAGAGCTTATCTCCTTGGCTCTTGCAGTTTCTGCTCGCTCAGCCACGGTATCTAAGGTAGCTCATTATCATAGACTGTACGGTGATTAACGTACTCAGCTAGCGTTTCCAGTTTATAACTCGGTTCCGTGGGACGAGATTCTCGTCCTTCGTTTAATTCGATTTCCAACCACGTGCCCGATATCGGAATGTTTTACGAGTAAACGTGTCGCGAATAAAATTTGTCCACCTTAAAAAGGACTCTTTTATGAAACACGTGATTCCAATTTGCTTGCCTGTAACAGAACAGAATCTTTCACCATTATTGGACTCTGATTAATCCTTTCATCTCGTTGATATATTTCCCTCTTCCCCCCAAAAAAAAACCATTAATTCTTCGATTATCCATCGAGATACGAATACGCTCTTTTTCAATATTTCCCTTCTCCTCCCTCCATATTCCTATTCCTCCATTCGCAAAACAAAGCTTCTATTCATCATCCTCATCTCCCTATTAATCTCTCCATTATCCATAGCGAGATACAAATCACTATTTTCTTCCAATATTTTTTCACCTGTTCGTGAAACATTATTATCGCCGAATTGTTTACAACTGTGAATAGCGATCGATATCAAAACAACATCCGACCCGTAAATTTCATTACGAATTCTGTCACGCGCAAAAGCTGATCCATTAAAAACTGAACTGCGAAGCACGTGGACAAAAAAAAAAAAGAAAAAAGAAAGGATCGATCCTCCAAACATCGTCGATTTGCAGATCTCGGTATGCCTGACGGCCCTCGTGCTGACGATAGCCGCCGAGGAGAGGCCGAGGAACACCGTCTCGGTGTCCTCCGGCACGGCATCGATCCAGAGCAACACGATCCAGAAGCTGATCAAGATTCTGGAGAAGTACGGGCTCGAGGAGCAGAGGGGCCTGAAGAGGGTCTACCTGAGCAACAGGTCGATCACGTGCAACGACGGATCCCAGGCTGGGTTCTACCTGCGGAAGTCGCACGGATCCAGGAGGTGGATCATTTTCCTGGAAGGTGGATGGTACTGCTACGACCACAAGAGCTGTAGGAACAGGTGGCTCAGGTTGAGGCATCTGATGACGTCGACACAATGGCCCGAGACACGCGACGGTGAGAGCAAGCTTCCGCTTTCCAAGCTTTGCGCGCGTTGAGCCGACATTTTTCTTTTTTTCTTTCTTCGCGTTTGTCGATCAACCGAGTTTTGTTAGTCGTTTGACGACTCTCCCGGCTCGTGATGGAATTTTTTATTCGTCGTCCGGTTTGAAGTACAGTTTACGGTAGAATCTCGTTTTTATTATCGCGTGGAATTATCACTCGCTCGTTCACGATCTCTGTTTAGAGTTCCAGAACCGGTGACGGTGAGCGTGGAAAAATATGGAATGGGAAAGAGATCGTATGCGCACATCTCGATTTTTCCAATTAATTCTAGTATTACTTCAAAAAAAAAATAAAAGAAAGAGGAAGAGCAATTTGATCTGGTTAAAAATCTTGGAAGAAGATATCTTATTCAGTACTATTCTTTTACCGAATGAATAAATCTTGAAAACGTTTGCAGTTGGCGGCCTATTGTCGGCGAATCCCGAGGAGAACCCATATTGGTGGAATGCGAATCACGTGTAGGTATCGTCCATCTTAGCAAGACCTTCAACGATTTTACGTAGTCGCAGTTTTTCTGTAATGAAAACTTCTAACTAAAATTCGTTCCCTCAGGTTCGTTCCTTATTGCACGAGCGACAGTTGGAGCGGAACCAGAGCCTCGTTGAACGATATGTTCTCCTTCATGGGGGCAGAGATTGTACTGCAGGTGGTACGAGATCTCGTTCCACTTGGCCTCGAGAACGCAAGCTCCCTTCTTCTAGCTGGTAGCAGCGCGGGTGGAACCGGTGTCATGTTGAATTTGGATCACGTGCACAATTTGGTTCACCACGATCTAGGTAAGACGAATTTTTTCTAAAGAAAAAAAAGAAACTCCTTTCATTTGTCCACCTTATTCGATCAAAATTTTAAGTATGAATTTCCATTATAAAACGCAGGCTTGAAGCATATCGCGATAAGAGGCGTATCCGACTCGGGATGGTTTCTCGACAGGGCTCCGTATTCGCCGAATGGTTTGTCACCGGTTGACGTTGTTCACAAGGGAATGGAACTTTGGAAGGCTCGAATGCCGCACAATTGCGTCAACAAACACCGAAACGAACCGTGGAGGTGTTACTTCGGCTACAGGCTGTATCCAACGTTGACCGGTAAAGCAGAACGTCTACCCTTTCATCTAATTAATCATTCGTTGATCTAGGTTGGCAAAATTGTGAAACTTGAAAATTTCATCGTGTAGAATTCGAAGAGAAATTATCCGTATTTAAATAATTTTTCCCTTTTCTCAAAATTTCTCAAGCATTGATTCGAATTTTTTTTCAAATCTACACCTACACGTTCCGTTTCGATTCGATTTAGCCCCCCTGTTCGTTTTCCAATGGCTGTTCGACGAAGCTCAGATGTCGGCGGACAACGTGGGTGCGCCGGTGACCAAGCAGCAATGGGATTACATACACAAAATGGGCGACAGCCTGAGACAGACGTTCGAGAACGTTACAGCGGTGTTCGCTCCCAGCTGCATCAGTCACAGCGTTTTGACGAAAAGAGATTGGCAATTGGTCAAGATCGACGAGGTTTCTCTGGCGCAGGCGTTGCACTGCTGGGAGCAAATGCCAATCGGAAATCATCGAAACGTGTAAGTATCGAATATTTCTAAAAATGCATGAAAAAAGAACATTAATAAATCTTTTAGAGAAAACAAGGTGAGAAAACAAAGAAATGTATAACAAAATGAATATCTCAATGAATATCGCAAGAGACAAGAAAGGTCTTCTTCTTTTGTCCAAAGAAGAAGAAGAGGAGAAATTCCAAACACAAGAAGGTTCTTGTTTTCGTTTCCTCCGTTCCTCGGTTTGCTGGAAAACTGTCAAGTTGTCAGGGGACTGACTTCGACCCCTGTTAATTTCAGCACTCGTTCGCCAATTGAGACGAACCAGCCGTGCACAAAGTCGTTGCGGAAGCTGGTGCGATCCGGGTCGACGAAGGGAAACGGAACTTCGTCCGAGGCAGGAAAAAGTGGGAAAGGCGAGTCTGTGGCCGAGTTGCAGAAAGTCAGGGCCCCGTTGAAATCGGTCATGGGGAAAACCTCGTCTAACGCCGTGGTGCAGGACAAGGAGGGGAAAAAGAGGAAGAGGCGAAAGCACAAAGGGAAACGCAGGGAGAGGAACAAGGAAGCGAGGTCGAGGAAGGAGAAGCACGAGCGAAGAAAAGCTACGGGTAAATTTGTGTTCGTATTTAAACGCGAAGAACGAATAAAACTCGATGATTC